GGTGTCAGAATTATTTGACATATCGGACATGTTTTCATAGTCCTCGGATACATTACACAAAGGTTTAGGTACTGGCGGCAAAGTGAAGCCCTCACATGCATTGGCTTGGCTTTCTGAGTCATACAGTGCCAGCACTTCCGTATTCAGATGCATCTGATAGCCCTTTATAGCTTTCTTTACCAGTAACATTGTCTTCTGGCTAAACTTCGGCAAAAAGTAGGCGCGCTCATCAGAAAGTTCGGACTGCTCAATGATGTGCATTATATCGTACTTGGCCTCGGTATCGAGCTCACTAAACTGCTTCCGAATGAGCTCACGTTCTATGGGGTCAATGGTATTCGGATCGGATGTAGGTTCGTCTTCTTCGGAAGAGTCTGGCATATAAGTTTGCGAGCAGAGACCTTCAGAGATTATCTGGGCGTTGATCAAAATCGGCAAGAGACGCTCACAGTAGCCAAGCTTCTCCTTCTGCTTCACACGACGACGAGAATTAGTCAGATTCTTCTGGAGGCTTTTGATCGTATCATTGAGGGTATCGATCAAACCATCCTCCCAATCAAACGGCGGCATCCGGCACTCGCGCAGACTGTCATAAAGCTCATCATATGCATTATGAGCACCTTTGTAACCCTTTTCTTCACGAATTTGACTGGATTCGTAATCGTATGTGCCCTGAATACGCTTGTTATGTTCCTTGCAATACTTGAGGATGTTGTGCAGCCGTGCATCAAAGTCTTCCAGGGTCTTGAGATTCTCATTGTTCAAGGCTTCAACCATCGGCAACCATTTTTCGGCAAAGAGCTCTTGTGCATCCTGTTCCAGCTCGTCGGTTTCCTCCCGCACCTTCCTCAATCGACATCGACATTGATGCTTCATCAGAGACTTTTCCGCCACCTCCTTACTTAAAGGCACCTCGGCACCCTGCGGCATCCTGTCGTACACCTCCATGAATAGCTCTTCCAACTCTTGCCCGTTGCGATAGACAAGGGAGCCAGGCATATTGAATTTGAAGCAATTGCTAATCACAAGTCGGACGTCGTAAACCAGCTCATTGACGTTATGGTAGTAATTATGCGTAACTCGCTTAATGATGGTCCCCATATCCATGGGATTCTCGATGACTGCATAATAGCTGGGCACCTTGAGGAGCTTTGTGTCGACCGGCTCCATGAAAGGCAATGAGAAGTCATGATGCGGCAACTCTTCCAGAAGATACAGTCTAAAATGGTGTATCTTATTAGTGTACACCCCTGCCTTACCCGCCGGAGGCACAAAATTCGGTTGGATTGAAGAGGGCAGCTTGATGCGAAGCGTTAGTTGTTCCCTTTGTTGCGGCTGTAGAAGGTTAATCAAATGCAAAAGATCTTTCAACAGTAGCACATGAAATTTCCCAAAATGTTCACACTCACCATTTTATTTTCGAAAAAAAAAATTAATTTATCTCAGATATTTGATAATAGTTATTTTCTAAAAAAAAATTAATTTTTTTCTTGATATTTGATAATAAGCAAATATGAGAATTTCTCTTGATTTTTACTGGCAAGTGACACAGGAGAATTGACACTGACTCTGAGAGAATGAATTCCTTCCTAGGATACAATTTTTGTTCGATTTATCGTGATTTTCGATTTAGTGCGGTGCGAATTATCGAGACTCGACTGTATATGCACAGAAAATGATAATCCAGTATTTGGGGGGAATTTTAAATTTAATTTAATTTATTTTCATCTTTAAAACTCATGCACGTCCCATAATAAAGATCGTGATCTGATATCATTGATATTTATATGTATGTATGTATATTGCACAAATTGTGCTCTTTACTTGTATTCGTAATGTGATTTGGACTAAAGTTAACATAAAATCGCATAATATTTGTATATTGCACAGGTTTCCTAATTGCTGCAACTCCGTTAAATATACACACATACAATATAATATA